ATGGTCCAAACAATTACTTACGTTTACTTGAAGGCCTTTATTCTGGTTGCGGTCTCCTTTCTTTATATAGAAGTGCTTTGGGCTCCTTTTCATACCTTGGCTGTGCTGTTAAGGGAACCTAGGTGAATTCACCTTGTCGTAATCCTCTGCCCTAGTAGTTAAGATTATTTCAATCGTCAGATCGGGGACTTGGTACATTCTCAGATGTTTTATTGGCCTCAAAGTCCAGGGTCTGACGCTGAAAATTATTATGACTACTCTGACAGAGGACTCCTTACAACACAACCACTGTAAAGCAGAGTCAAACCACTTCAATTATTAGGTTTAGTTTATTTTCCTCAATTTTTCATAGTAAAACCCGGTCCTTTTCTAACACGATGATTGCCAAAATGTTGACAAATTCAGCTATCAGCAGAGCTCGAATGTAATTGTCAAACGAATTAGCAGCTGTGAGCTAAAACGCTATTATTTGTTGAGGTATGGAAGCCAGTTATGTATGACTTTATTTCGATTTTGATGTATTAATTTAGCCTCTTTCTGACGAGTTGTTTATTCAATATTCTGCCCAGCTTTTTTTCGAAAGAATTTCCCATACATCATATATTTTTATCTATTCCGAATCTCATGAATAAATTCGAGAAGCCGTTATCCCGCCCCTGAGATTGTCTCTTAATGCTTGCTGACTTAACAATAAAACTATCTTCTAGTATATTTTGCATGATTTTGTTATTTGATCAGATTTGCATTTGGAAACAAGATCGACCGATTTCCAAATTGTATCAAATTTCAACTTTGTCTGAAGAAGCTTCTTGAACTACTTTTAGAATACTTCATTTTTATTCGAATACGTTTCTTTCTAGTCGAAAAGGATTTCCGAAAATTTGTAGACATCCGTTTGTGCATTGGAGCTTTTGCCGATAAGATATATTGCACAATACCTTATCCTAAAAATCACCTACTACTCTTAGCGCACTCCCTTTTGACCAACAGATACGAAACTACCGTTCGAATGCAGTTCCATTTTACTTTGCTTTCATTTCTGGCTGCTTCAATTTTCTACTTAACAAATAAATAGCGCCTGCCTAAAATTCCCCAACCAGATCTGCACGTTCTTTTGAACATGGCCTGCTCAACTTGGATACTTTAACGGCCGCAGCAGCCGCGGCCTCTGCTTTAGTGGCCAACGTTGGTTCCGGATCAGACTCCAGGCTTGGTGAGTCGTCCGGACATGATGGAAGCACGACTTGTGCATCAGCGGGTAGTGGTGGAAGTACTCTCATCCCTAATCACGCAGCTCTCCTAGAGACAGCCATGTTGGCTGCAGCTTTCCTTGCCGTTGGTAATGGTGGCGTCGACGGATCGCAGGAGCTGCCAGCGGCTGCGCCTATGCTGACAACATCGATAGCCAACCATGATCAAGGCTTGCTTCGACTTGGGCTTCCTCCGGTTGATCCGAAAAATTCCTCTGCAACTGGATCCTCCAGGTCCCGAGATCGTCGTGGCAGAGTTCGCAGGTCGCAAGACGCCTTGCCAGTATCACCATCATCAAGAAATGGTACCATTAATTCTACCAATGGATCCCAGCACCGACTATCAGGATTACGGGCCAACACCGGGACAGCATCACCAAAATCCAGCTCAACAACTACACCAGCGACTATGAAAACTACCCCTACTAGAGTAGGGAAGACGGCCACGCCTGTGTCGGGCACCGAATCAGCCGATCTGAACACAGCAGCAGCTACCATGACCGCCGTGGCTGCAGCAGCAGCAGCTGCTGTAACTTCTGCCCTTGAGCAAGATGTGATTCGTGTACATGGTCAACCCGGTGCCTCAAGTCAGCTGGTCGAAG